GAGCCCATTGCGGCAGACACTGTATGAATTCATCTCCTTTGCTCTCTTGCCAAGCATGATCTCCCTTCCCAAGGACTAACCTCTCCCAACATGTCCAAAGTATGTGAGGTGAAGCTTCCCCGCCCTTGCCTTTAAGGAGCACTCTGGTTATCCTTTCTCCAAGATGTATCTGTAGTCTAAATTCAGGTGGGATACACTTCAAGGCTCTATTTTGACTACCATGGACTCCTGTTGTTGTTGTTGTTATGTGCCATCGAGTCACTTGCCACTCATAGCGACCCTATGTACAACAGCCCTAAACTCTGTTCTGTCCTGTGACAATCGCACTGTCTCTGACACTCCCATCTCGATTATCCCAGTCACTGAATCAATCCACCTCATAGAGGGCCTTCCCCTCCTGCACTGTCCCTCCACCCTCCCAAGCATGATGTCCTTCTCCAAGGACCGATCCCTCCTCACAACATGTGCAAAGTGTGTTAGATAGAGCCTCAGAATCCTTGCCTCCAAGGGAGCCACCCAGTTTAACCCTTTCCAGGACAAATCTGTTTGTTTTCCTAGCAGTCCATGGTATTTTCAATACTCGTCTCCAGCACCACAGCTCAAAGGCATCAATTCTCCTTCTATCCTCCTTGGTCATTGTCCAACTCTCTGATGCATAACAAGTGATTGTGAAGACCATGGCCTGTATCAGACGCACCTTAGTCTCCAGAGAGACACCATTGCTCTTCAGTACTTTGGAGAGGTCCCTAACAGCAAACATGGCAATGCGTCTTTTAATTTCCTGGCTGCTGGTGCCAAGAGTGTTGACTGTGGAGCCAAGCAAACTAAAGCTGTGTACAATCTCAATCTCTTCACCATCTATCCCGATGCTGCCAATTGGTCCAGTGGTGAGAATCTTTGTCTTCTTGACATTGAGCCTCAACTCTTAGGAAATGTTTTTTTTCCAGCTTAAGTCTGAATATGCAAATGAACAATCAGTTTCGTATTAGGTCCATGTTCTAATACTAAATTTCTCCATGATTTCTTCCCATAGAATAATCTCTTTTATTTCTATGTATTATTATAACCAGTGAGATACTTAGTTCTAAATTACACTATTGAAAAATGTGATGCACCATTCTCACATGTGATATCCAGCATTATCTCTGTCACTACACCTATATTTTCCAAACACTGATTTTCCTTCTTTGTTCCTAGCTTTTTCATTCTAATCACCAGTAATTAGAAGTACAACTTTATTGCTTCCTTGATAAATTTCAGATTGCATAAATTGGTAAAAATCTTCAATTTAATCTGTGGCATTATGTGCATAAATGTGAATAAGAGTGGTATTAACTGCCTTGTATGCGTAAATACTGTCCTGTCGCAGTGTTGTACATTAGAATAGATTTGGAAATGTTATTTTTGAGGATCAGTGTGACACTATCCCTCCTTTTCCCACACCAACACCATTCTTTTTAAATTTGCACTTCTTGGCATAGTAGACTACATGATTTTCTCACTTCAATGAGCCATACCAGTCCAGCTCAGTGCACTAATTCCTCAATACCTAGGATTGTCAATCTCATATGGTCCATTTAATTTCTTCAGCTTTTTCATTTTACTATATTTATAATTAGTACATCTTACATATAGATTATTAATAGATATTTACATATGTATCTCCTCATTTTGAGGGGTGTGTAAGTTTTCATGTCCATTAGTAGTTATGATGGTGGCAAGGGGGAACACTTCTAATATAACACACTTGTTTTGCAATCCGACTTGAGCTAGAGACGGTCATGAAATAGCCCAGGAATCTGCTTTCTGTTCACATCAGCAACTTAGAAGATGTAGTGTAAATTCTAGAGAATGGAATGTGTTAAGATTAGACAGTCCTAAGACTGCCCCTCTAGCCAGTGCTGCGAAACCTTTTTTATCCTGAAAGGTAAGCTTCTTTAGACAGAGAGGATTGTAAAATATCCTAGTTGAAGATCAACTAGTTTTGCTTGTTAACGAGTTTATGCTGACCGTGCTGATTATAAGTTAAGGTGTACTCACTGAAATAACAAAATTTGAGGACATGCTCAAAGAAATGAAAAATAAATTTGTTCGATGCTGTCAAGTCAACTATGACTCATAGCAATCCTAGGAACAGCCGGCATGAACTCCCCTATCCTGTGCCGTCGTCATTTTTGAGACACTAGAGCCCATAGTTGAAGTCATAGTTTTAATCCATCTTGTTGGGGGCCTTCTTCTCCTTCGCTGACCCTCCATCTTTATTGTTTCTAAAGGCAAATATATTTGTATATAACACAACACTAATAATTTGTAACAAATAAAAATGTTTATGGTACAGAAAGGTACAGAAGACAGCTGCAATGTGTAAGACCCCATGCTACTCTGGTTTCACATCAGGGAAGTAATCATTCTGTGTTGTTGTTGTGTGCTGTCGAATTGGAACCAACTCATAGCTGACCCTCCCTGTGGATTTTCAGAGACAGTAAATTGCACGGGAGGAGATTGCCCATCTTTCTTCTTTGGAGCAGCTGTTGTGTTCAGACGGCAGGCCTTTGCGTTAGCAGTGTAGCTGCCTGCCATTAGGCCACCAGATCTCCCAAATCACTCCGCAGTGTCCATGTATTTAGAAACCCACATCTCGTAACTGCTTTATAGTATAATTTATTCCAGTCTTCGACTCCTGGGAAATGTTGTTGTTAGGTGTCATCGAGCCACGTACAACTCAAAGCAAGCCTGTGAACAACAGATTTGAATCCTGTCCTATCCTGTGCCATCCTCATCATCTTTGTATCTTAAATATCGTATTTAAGCCTATTGCTGCAATCACAGTTTTTTACCCATCTTGTTGAGGATCTTCCCCTCCTTCGCTGACCCTCTACTTTTCCAAACATAATGTCCCATCCCAAGGAATGACATTTTCTAGCAACATGCCCAAGTAATGTGAGATGAAGTTTCACCATCTTTGCCTCCAAGTAGCACTCTGATGTAATTTTCTCCTAGCATACTCGTTTGTTCTTTTGACAGTCCATGGGATATTCAGTACTCTTCTCTATCACCATAGCTCAAAGGCATTGATTCTTCTGCCATCCTTATTCATTGCCCAGCTCTGAGATGCATAGCAGGTGATGGAATCAGGTGCACCTTAATCTTTAAACTGACATCATTGCTCCTCAATAATTAGGAAAGACCACTGATAGAAACTTGCCCAATGCAATATGTTTCTTGATCTCCTGACTGCTTGTCCTAAGCATGTTGATTATTGATCCAACAAAGATGGAATTGTTAACAATTTCCATCTTTTCTCCATCTATCATGATGTTGTCTTTGGACCAATGGTGAAGATTTTTTTGTCCTCTTGATGTTGAGATGCAATCCACATTGAAGATTGTAGTCCCTCTGTATCAAATGCTTTAAGCCCTCCTTACTTTCAGAAAGTAAGGTTGTGTCATTTGAATATTGCAGGCTGTTGTTGAGTCTTCTCTGATCCTGATGCCACATTCATCTTCATAAAGTCCACCTTCTCAAATTATTTGCTCAGCATACAGATTGAACAAGTATGGACAGATGGGATAGCCCTCATACATACCTTCTGTGATTTTAAACCATACAGTGCTCCCCTGCTCTGTTCAGATAACAGCTTCTTGGAGTAGGTTTCATGTGAGCATAAGTACATGGGAAATAATCAGCATCAAATACATGCAACATGTTAATGTTTTAAGATGACCGGCCCTATTATTTCTAGAGGATCTCAAAACGTGGTGTGGAAAAAAAAGTCTTTGCAAGCCAGTAACTAATGAAACCATGTATTCTGTATTAAGAATCTGATATAGAGGGAACATGATAAAATTGTGCTGATAATAGCAATATTAAGTTCTTGGCTTGTAATTTAGTTAAATCTTAACTGTTTTCTTCTGATAGAAAAAAGGTACCTTGTCAGAAGACTAGCATCTAAGATGGTCTCGTGATTGTTGGTGGTTGATAGAGCTCTTTCCTTACACTTGCTGTCCTGGGATAAGTGGCAGTAACTGGGAGAGTAATGATCCAGCCCAAATGTTAGGAACATTTAAATCATTAACCTCCAACCCTTGAGTGTTTTATTATTACAAAGTCCACAACTCTCACACCCTTTAGTTCTCAGACTCTCCCTTCACTCTCTGGTGTTTTAAGTAACCTCTGATTGACCTATCTCAAGCTTCTCTCAAAGACTAAAAATGGCCATTGGGACCACCTCCTACAGAATGTGGTTTCAAAGATTGATAGATTAGCTCCCTCTTTGCCCAGAAGCTTCTCCTGAGAAGGCTCAAAGACCAAAAACTCTTGGATTGAGTTGAAAGGAAGAGAGAAGGGGAGAAGGAGGTTTTAAGATAGATTTATAGTGATATTGAGGAAAGGTAAGTTGAGGAGCACAGAGGGAGGGAAATGGGGTGAGTACTTTGGCTTTAAGGAACAAAGATGGTCTGTGGAGTGGTCTGAGACTTCACCAATACATTTGGACACCTGAATAATTACACGCTTTTGATCTACATCTTGGATTGACTAGGATTTACCCTGTTGGATCTCTGGTTGCTCAGTGGTGAGGAATTGCACTGCCAACCCAAAGGCATGCAGTTCAAATCTACCAGCTGTTGTAGGGAGAGAGATGGGCAGTCTCCTCGTGTGCAATTTACTGGCCTTGCAAACCCACTAGAGGGTCAGCTATGGGTTGGTTCTGACTAGATGGTACATCACAACAACAATCCTGTTGAAGGACAGTTGGAAAGAATAAATCAACTTGGAAAAGAAAGTGAGGCATTTCCCAGTCTCTTGACTTGAATAACTGAACTGGCTGGATGGTGATGTTGACTCACAGAAATGGAGGCTAGGAGAGGATGGGCATGTGTGGTGCAGGCAGCTGGATAAACACTGAATCTCAGAGGAAAAAAATGATCCAGAAATACCAGTTTAGGAAATTTATTGTCAGTTACTGAGAGATTTTTAAAAAGTTTTGTTTTTCCCTGCAGATAGTTTAATTGTGAAAGGATCCGTGGCTAACCTCAAAGCCAACACAGTTTGGGGCGCATTACGAGGTAAGATCTTCACAGGTCCATTGCCATTTTTTAGCAAAGGAAAAGTTTCAGTTGTTACTTTGAGGGTAACAAAACACTGCTTGTTTGAACTATAGACTGATTTGCTGAGAAGTTCTAAATTATTTCTATTAAACAAACTCTGGGAGCCTCGTGGGTAAGGAGTTGCACTGTCAACTCAAAGGTGAACAATTCAAAGGCACCCGCTGCGTCTTGGAAGAAAGGTGGGCAGTCTCCTGTCTCCTGTGAGACTGGAAGGTCAGTGTGAGAGAAAGAGGGAGAGAGATTGAGATTATCGACTTTTCTATCAGCTATCACTTGTTCTTGCCTTCACAATCAGGTATCTCTCTCTCTCCCCCTTTGTTATGGATTTAAAACAGATAACCATTTACAGAGATAGTGCTCCAGAGTTTATTGGAGGCTTAGAGTAGAGAGACTTAAAAGTTTTCCCTGGGGACTTCAGGGTCTGAGTGTCAACACCTGGGCGCTGGAATCCTTTTCTTTTTTATCAAGCTTTTTATGAAAAGCTTCTTATAACAAAAGGTGTGTGGGTTGGCTTTTTTGTTCATTTTTCAAATAACAGAGTTTTTAAAATGGAGACTTTTTAAAAAATGGGAGTTAACCAAATTATTGTAATAATAAAATCTTTATATTTCTTTTTTTTTAAATTTTTTTTTGTGTGTGCGTGTACCGTCAAATCAGATCTGACTGGTACAGGAGGATATTGCGCCTCCTTCTCCGGCAGAGCGTCTGGTGGATTTGAACCGTCTGGTGGATTTGAACCGTGTGTTGGATTTGAACCGTGTGGTGGATTTGAACCGTGTTCCTCTGGGATTGCAGTGCAGCTTCTTGCCACTAGGCCACCAGAGCTCCCCATAAAATCTTTATATTTCACTCAAGTTAAGCTTGAGGGAGCTCTCTCTGGTGGCCTAACGGTAAGAAGCTACGCTGCAATCCCAAAGGCATGTGCTTCGAATCCACCAGCCACCCAGGGGAGAAGATGGGCAGTCTCCTCCCAGGCCTCTGAAAACCTGCCGGAGGGTCAACTGTGGTTCCCTTCCGACTCGATGGTACTCAACAAAAACAACAAGAATTATCTAAAATAAAGAAATCAATTTTATAGTATATTTTTAGACAATAGTGACATAATTATAATATTTCAAAATGTTTTTGTTAGTTCTAACTGAGCCAGTTCTAACTCACAGCAACTGGATGTAGACAGAAATGCAGGACCACGTTCACAATGTTTGCTAGATTTGACCTCATTACAGCCACGATGTCAATTCAAATTCATCTCATTGAGGGTCTTTTCCCCCCTCAAAATAGAACAGGAAAACATCTCAAATATATATATTTAGTACAAATGGAGCGATGTTTGCCTTGCTCCATAAAAAATAAAGACCTTTAGAGAGCACACAGTGACTAGGTTCTTGCCCAAGAATTCCTTATTGCCCGTTTACCATCATACTAGGAAAACAACTGCCTCTGAAAAGGCAATAAAATACCGTCACTTCACAGAAAATCTCAGTAATTCTCAGTTTGAGCTAGTAACCTGGGGGAGGGGCAGGAAGTGTGGATGAAAAAGGCACAACAAAAATGACTTTGAATTCTAAAATTTCCCAGTTAGATAGCTGTGCACTGGAATGATGAACCTCGATAAAGTGAAGGGACATTTATAGGAATGTGTCTGTTGCAAAGTGTTAAAGGAACAATCCACTTAAGGAAAAATCATCTTAGAGCTGTAAGTAAAATAACCTTAAGTTATAAATTTGGCCTTCATTTTGGTTTCACCATCTTTTTCTCCCCCAAGATTATTTTTTTCCTTTGTTAAGTTTAGGTTACTTCTAAAGTGACTGTCCTGTGAGGCTTCATCAAAAATTGTTCTTAATGTTACAAATTAAGAAACTCATGTTTTATTAAATTTGTTCGAGTTTACTGTTAAAATGCAATACAAGATGTGCGCAAAAATGAAGCGAACATTTTGAACTGTTTATTGAAAAAAATGTTAGAAGGTATAGGTATGCTATTTCGTTTTATTTGGCTTACCTAGTTACGTGTATGTTTCAATAATTTCACAAATTAACACAATTAATTTCCTTTCCTCAGGTTTAGAAACCTTTAGCCAGTTAATTTTTCAAGATCGTTATGGAACTGTGAGTATAACATTACTAAAACTGTTGTCTAGACATAGAATTACTAGAAAAGTACAAAAATGAAAATATAAGTTATGTAACTCTTGCTCTCTGAGGTTTTCTTTTCCCCAGGTATTTATCTTGGGTAGAGTTAAAAATTTTAAAATATCTAACTTTTATTTAAATAATTAACAAATTTTTAAAGTCTTTTATCCAATATTTGCACATTCCTTTTTGCACATATATAATTTTTATTAAATTCAAGGCAAAACTCTAAAAAGAAATCAAACTTCTATTTTGTTTCACAGTTCAGCATCAATGAATCCACCATTAGTGACTCACCAAGGTTTCCTTACAGAGGAATTTTAATTGACACGTCGAGACACTATCTGCCAGTTCCAATTATTCTTAAAACTCTGGTAGGTAATTTGCTTACATCATTTTATCCATTGTCCATTCTTACACTGTATTTTCTGTATGCTATAATTTCATGTCAATTACTTGCTCTGTTGGAGGTTGAAGCAGGGGCACCTGACTTTACTGTATTAAACAGAAGTGCTGGACTGTCTTTCCCTCTTCCCTGGTGTGGTCTATCTTGTCAGTGGTGGAGAGGGTCTCCTCTTTATATTATGGGGGCCACAGCATATATTCAGGCATGATTTCCAAAAGAAAGGCATACATTTAAGTTGTTGTAAAGAGCCTTGTGGCACAGTGGCTAATCTGTAGCACTCTGTTTCTAAACCAGAGTTTGGTAGTTTGAACCCACCAGCCTCTTTGTATGAAAACCATGGGGCAGTTTGCTTGGTGAGATTTACAGCCTTGGACATCTCAGAAGGTTGCTGATGTGAACGGGAATCAAGTTTATTCCAATGGCCGTGGGTTTAGTTGTTTGGCTTTTTGGATATTACGTGTTCAGTCAATTCCAATTCAGGATTCTAAACAAAAGAGTAGATCTGCTGTCCATGGTTTCCTGGACTCTCTCTTTCTGGGAACAGATCATTTGGTCTTTCTTCCCAAAAATCAGCTAGTGGGTTTGAACAGCCAACCTTTTGGTTAGCAGCCATTATACTTCAAGGGCACACTGGCCAATGTTCTATTTGTCAAAGCCTGCGTTGATTTTTGGTTAGGAATACATGGCTACCACGTGTCTGTCACTGTTGTGGTTGTGTATCTGTGAGTTAGAACTGATCCATAGCCAGCCCTCAAATGGGTTTTTAGTAAAAAAGAAAGAAAGAAAACAGAAAGCAGTAAATCAAATGGGAAGAATACTGCCTATCTCTCTCACTCTAGTAGATTCCAACAATGTGCCTTTGGGTTGGCATGTCTAGTTAATGCCTTTTCATTTGTAACGTCCATTTACTGGCATACTTTGTTTTATTGTGTTTCATATTATGTGCTTCTCAGATATTGTGGTTTTATAAATTGAACACTTGTGGCAACTTTGCCATGAGCAAGTCTGTCAATGCAATTTTTCCAACATAGGGTCATTGCGTCGTATTTTGGTAAATCTTGCAATATTTCAAATGTTCCCATAATGCTATTGCACACTAAATACAGTACATTATGGTGGAAGTATCACTTTCACATACACTGGTAAACAAAGAAAAAAAAATGTGTGACTTCCTGTGTTGAAATAGTTGCTTTATTGCAGTGGTCAAAAACCAAACCTACAGTATGACTGCGGTGGGTGTGGCCCTTTTCAAAGGTGGAGTAGAAAGGGGTCTAGGAGCTGCATTGTACATAGAGAAAAGTTTTAAAGGATCACAGAGACTCAGGTATGGCAGGGGGTCAGGAGCTTACAATTAATTTCTCTTACCAGCTCTTCATAGATTCTTCCTCACCCACCCACCGCCACCAATTCTGATTCATAGTGACTTTCCGAGTTGCAAAACTTTCCTGGGGGAGACTACCTACCCTTCTTCGATGGGGTAGCTGGTAGATTTGAACCACCACTTATTTCTTTGCTCCACCATCCATCAAGATACCCCTCCCCTTAACATCTATCTCCCATTGTCCAGCCCTTGATCTGATAGCTTATATCCTTGTTCACAGTTTTGGTCTGCTTGGCTCCACAATGAACACTCTTGGCACCAGCAGCCAGGAAATTAAAAGACATATTGCCATGGGAAAGTCTGCTGTTAGGGACCTCTCTAAAGTACTGAAGAGCAATGGTGTCTCTCTGGAGACGAAGGTGCATCTGATACAGGCTATGGTCTTTGCAATCACTTGTTATGCGTCAGAGAGTTGGACAATGGTTAGAATGATAGAAGGAGGATAGAAGGAGTGCTAGATAAGAGCGTTCAGGGTACCATGGACTGCTAAGAAAACTAATGGATTCATCTAGGAGAGGGTTAAACTGGGCTGCTCCTTGGAGTCAAGGATTCTGAGGCTTTGTCTAACATACTTTGGACATGTTATAAGGAGAGACTGGTCCTTGGAGAAGGACATCATGCTTGGGAGGGTGGAGGGCAGACACAGGAGGGAAAGGCCCTCTAGGAGATGGATTGATTCACTGGGGTAATTGGGTTGAGTGTATTGGAGACAATATTGGAGACAGCACAGGACAGAACAGAATTTAGGGCTGTTGTACATAGGGTCGCTGTGAGTCACAAGTGACTCGACAGCACATAACAACAACAACAACAACAAATTAATTACATTTAATATATTTAATCTTGTTGTGTACCATCAACTCAGAACCGACTCCTCTCTGACCCTCTGGTGGGTTTTCTGAGGCAATTAATCACATGGGAGGATATTGTGCATCTTTCTCCTGTATTGATTTTATTGTTTTCAAATCTCAAGTTTTATTATTATCAAAAACACTGATGCACCTGAAACCCACACCGTCCCTTTTCAGCAGGAAGTAGCTAAGAGAATATGCCATCCCCTTTTCCTTATGAATCAGGGTGAAGTCTCTCAGGGAGGAGTGATAGGGAATGGCAAGGGCACACTGACAAAGGAGATTAATCAGAACTGGCTTTGACAAGCACTGTGGCAATTGGACAATTAAAACAGACATTTGGTGGGGGGGGAAGAACGAACTGGGGAGGAGGGTAGAGAAAACAGTGCAACAATGAGTGAATGAGAACCCAAAATCTCTGTAAATGTTCATTAAAACTAATAAAAATTTAATAATAATTTTTTAAAAAACCCAAACACTGGTGCAGAGTAAGCATGGTATTTATAGCTTGGCCAAGATAATTTCCTGAGGAGAAATGCTTAGGAGCAAAATCTGTGGCTTCAGGATGTGCCTTCTGGCACATGCTTTCTAAGAGGTCACACGAGTTTATGATGCTGATAGAGTATATATCCATGTTTTAATTCACACATCTTTTAGTTACTGTAAACCTTTTTTTACTTGCTTTTTTCTTTAGATTGTAAATAGGGAGCTCTGGTGTCCTTCTGAGTAACAAGTTGAGCTACCAACCCAAAGGCAGGCATCAAGTCCACCAGCTTCTCCTCTTGTGTGATTTAGTCTCTGAAAACCTACTGGAGGGTCAGCTATGAGCTGGTTCTGACTCGATGGCAATGAGTTGGTACTGTTTTGTGGTTATATATTGCAAACACCATGTTTATTTCCTATGTCTGTTTTGTGGGCATAAAATTAACTTCCTTATTAGTGGTTTATTTTTGTGGAGTTTTTTGACATATCACAATTAGCCTTTTTATTTTTTAACTTTTTTTATGTTGGTTTGCTTACAAAGGTCATATATGCATTCTGTTTGACACTAATCTTTATTCTCATTGTGTTCCATACAGTCATTCCATACAGTGTGTTTTATAACATTAATCACTACTGGATCATGCCCATTATTACAGGGTCCTTTCAGGTCTCTGCCTGGTCCTTCCCATTTCCTTCACCCCCTCCTTCCACCCACCAAATTGTGCAACTCTGGTTTCACCCCTGCCCCTCACTCCCCTGTTCCCACCCCTTACTGTCTTTGGTCCCCACGCATGTTTTACTAGTTATCCTTCTAATTTTACAATGAGTCTTATGTAGTATTTGTCCTTATGAGAGTGAGTAGTTCACTCAGCATAATGCCCTCCAGTCTCTCTCAAGTTACGTAAAATTTTTCAGGATTGTTGCTCCAGAGTTTTGCATGGTATCCCATTGTGTGAAAGTACCACAATTTGTCTATCCATTCAATTGTAGTTGGACATTTGAGCTGTTTCCATGTTCTTGCAATGGTGAATAACACTATTACTAACATTGATGTACAAATCTTCATTTGTGTCTCAGTTTTCATTTCCTTGGAGTATATTCCTGTAGTGGAATTGCTGAGTCATATGGAGTTTCTATCTTCAAATTTTTGATGAAATGCCAAGTGGTTGTACCATTTTACAATCTCACCAACAGTGTATGAGAGTTCCCACCTCACAACACCCTCTCCCAACATTTATTGATTGCTGCTCTGCTAAATTTTGCCACTGCTACTGGGGTGAGATGGTGCCTCATTGAAGTTTTGATTTGCATCTCTTATTGCCAGTGATTTTGAGCATCTGTTCATATGTCTGTTGCCATCCAAATGTCTTCCTTTGTGAAAAGTTTAAAGAGGTCTTTTGTGGCAGATTTACCTAAGGTAAGATGTAGCGTGATTTACTGTTGTTTTCATATAAATGCCTTCATAGACTTATGTATCAGTTATAATATATGGAAAATTAATCCACTGTTAACTAACTTCATAGAGATATTTATAAGCACATATCTGACCAGGCAGAGAGGATAATTGGGTTTTATTCTGATTTGTTAATGAGTTTGTTCTGTGATCTTGGGCTTCACATACATTGAGGTTTTCTGTCAAATTCTGCTTTTAGATTGCCTGAATTCCCCTCCATCTTTAACTCTCCATGAGTCTAGGATGACTTGTATTTTCATTGTGGTTTGAGCAAATCAGTTTTTCATTTATATGTTTTTTGATTCTTGATTCAAAATGTTATTTGCCATTTCCTCAGGGTAATAGCACTTTGCCACTCTCTCCCAAGTTCACTGTTATCATTAGCCCTTCCTGCCTGCTGTTTGCTGCCTTCTCTACCTGTGTTTGGGGGCAAATGCTGCTCTTTTGATTTCCCACAGTTAATTGTTCTGAGGAGTACATGCCTCATAAAACATGGTTCACTTTTGAGACCCATCCATTGTTGGAGACTCTAAGCACCTTTATGAAATGTGAAAACAAAAATCATTTAGCACGTACAGCCTCGTATTGGTGGTGTTGTTTTTGTTGTGTACTGTCGAGTTGGAACAGACTCATAGCTGACCCTCTGGCAGGTTTTCAGAAGCAGTTAATTGCTCTGGAGAAGATTGCCCATCCTTCTCCCACAGAGCAGCTGGTGGATTTGAACCATGCGCCTTTGGGATTGCAATGTAGCTTCTTGCCACTTGGGCCACCAGTGCTGTACAATGCTGGGTTGGACACAA